ATGACTCAGAGCAGCATGCCATCTTCACCGCCCGAGCCTCAGCCGGCGCGCGCGCCCGAAGCTGCCGCTGCGGCTCCTGCCGCTACCTCCTCAACCAACCACCCTCCCCCGGACACTCGGCACCATCCCCACTCTCGCAGATCCCGTTCCCGCCACAGACAGCACCGACACTCCCACTCCCACACCAGCCACCATCGCAGGCACAACAAGTCGCACCGACGACACGACACCCGACGATCCCGCAGCTACACGCAGGTCACGTTTTTCCCGCAGCTACAGCAGGTCACGTTCCCCTTCCCGACACTTCCACCACTCCCGACGTGCACACCACTCCACTGTCTCCCTCCGCTCCCGCTCCCCCCGACACAGGTCCCACCATCGACACTCCCCTGCACCCAGTGCCACGACTTCGCACCGACCCACTCACACTACTCATGATTCCACCTCCTGGCGCACTTCCGGGAAGGATTCCAACAAGTCTCAATGGTCCTCCTCACACTGGCGGAACCAATCGTGGGGGTACCCACCACAGAGCAAAAACCGCTGGGACATGCACCTCCATGGCGCCAGCCACACCGGCCACCGAAACAACCAGGGCAAACGATCGTCCTGGTCACTGCAGCACCATGGGCAGCAACCCCACCCCACTTCCCGCACCGGCCACCACAACACTAGCTTGCCCCCTCACCCAGCACCTGCGGCGGCCTTCACTTCCACTCCCCCTCCCCCTCCCCGACCCACGCCGGCTACTCCTCACCCTCCCCAACCCCCCTTCGACAACACCGGTGATTTGGATCCCCCTCCATCGGAGGCGGACATCAATGCCACCACCACTTCCGACAACCAGTGGCTTGATCTATGGAGAAACGTCATGGACACGGCCAAGACTGACCCGCTGCGAGTTCCCACGCCTAGGGAGTTGGGGGAGCTGGACCCGCTTCCAGCCTTGGACATCTCCAGGGTGGAACAGACTAAGGCCATTTTGATGGACCTGGACCCTGCTTTGCCACCTTCACATGCCGATCTCCTCGCGGAATGCTGGGAACTGCGAACCATGGACACGGATGATCCCATACCGTTCGATCCCAGCTTCTACCACCTCTTGGGACGGGAATCACACGGCATGGTGTTCGCAACCACTTGGTTTCCCCGACCTCATCCTTGGCCAGTTGCTGGCGGAGACCCGGAAGCTGGATCCGGCACGGCCTCCCATCACGCTGTCATGTATGTGCACGGCACCACCCCGGATCGAGTGCGCCGCATGTGCCATGAGAACATGATCCGACCCGCTGCTTGGAGGCCCGAGAACCATGACTACCCGAGCTTTGGATGCTACGCTCAGGCCACCCCCACGGCATGCACGCCCGACACGCTCGGCCAGCTCTTGCAGAACTTTACAATCGGAAAGTCTCAACTCGGCGCCATCGCTTTTGGGGAACTACGCTCCATCAATCAGCACAAAATCCTCGAATCCGGGGGAAGCCACGAGGATCAACACAACGTGCGGCGCCACTTCGCATGCCGCCGAGGCAAAAAGTGGTGCCTTCACTCCAAGTTTGCGATGCTGAGAGGCATCGCGCTGCAGCGCCCGGCTTAGCGGGGCGCAAGTGTACCATCTTCCACCCAACCAGGAAAAGAATTGGTGCACTGTTTGATCGCCTTTTTCTTTGCTTTGCTGTTCTGCCTTTCTGCGACCGTTCTCTCGCCTTGTGACCTTACCCGCTTGATTCCGCTCACCAGCTTTTGGTTCGAACATTTCCTTTTCCCCCGTGTTTTCTCATGGCTTTCCAACCCCCTCGAGGTTTGGTTCCGATGCTCCAAAGGCAAAACTTACCACCGCAGCCTTCGCCCACGGCATCCCATCATCATGGCATCATGTACGGCAACAACATGGCCGGAAACCCGTGCGGGGCCCTGTCCGGACCTTCCTACGGATGCTCTTCCACGACATGGACACCGCCAACTACACATCCGACTCCCTGTCAGACCTACGGCCAACCTATTCCCCATTACCCACCACACCCCGGCCCTCGTCCACCCTCCTTTGGCGGCTCTCTCCCCCCCCCTCCCGGCGGCAACCCCTTTCCCCCCCCTCCCCCCGGCCCCTCCACCCGCCCTCCACCTTTCCCCTCCCCCTCCACCGCCTCGCAATCCAAACCTCCCCCGGCCCTTCGACCCGTCCACTCAGTCCCAACACCAACCGAGTTCAACCCTGGCGACGATCACTACGACACCACCCGCGTCGCGGGGTACGACCTGCCCAAGGTCATAACGCACACCGCGTTTACTCGGCAAATGGGCATCGAGGGACAAGACATCGCTCGCGTCCCCCTCCTCCACCTCATGCACGAACAGTGGAACAGTTGGTGGTTGCGTCACCTCGCCCACGGAGGCGAAGTCCGCATCGTTGTCGCAAAGTCGATGCCGGAATCAGTGTTTGCTGCTGGACTACTCAGCCAAATCCGACAACGGCACCTCGACCTGGACGCCCTCGCCCTCC